CACACAATTTGTAGGAGTATATTGTCTTCACATTTTTCGTTGGTCTGTTCATATCCAGCAATTTAACAGACTGGTGTGGTCATGATTGTAACTAATTCTGTGATATACTTACAATGTACATTAACTTGTATAGATTTAGACCTTGTTTTAGGGTTGGTATTTTTAATATTGGTAGCTTCACATCTATAGTTTCCTTCCTGATTTCTTTTTATTAGAGTCAATACAAGATCTTTAGTTGATGATGAAACTGGCCCAGTCCATTTATAATTACATTCATAACAATCAGTTAAACATGTTATAGTTTGATCTCCACCTTCTATTATATTGATACTTGATACATCTGATGAGAAAGTAAGTTTATCAGGACCATCTGAAATAATAACAATCAGTTAAACATGTTATAGTTTGATCTCTACCTTCTATTATATTGATACTTGTTACATCTGGTGAGAAAGTAATTTTATCAGGACCAGCTGAAATAATAACAATCAGTTAAACATGTTATAGTTTGATCTCTACCTTCTATTATATTGATACTTGTTACATTTGGTGAGAAAGTAAGTTTATCAGGACCATCTGAAATAATAACAATCAGTTAAACATGTTATAGTTTGATCTCTACCTTCTATTATATTGATACTTGTTACATTTGGTGAGAAAGTAAGTTTATCAGGACCATCTGAAATATATGTTATAGCTTCATCTCTACCTGAACATTAAGTTGTTTATTTAATACAGTATGTGTAACTGTACAGGTATAAGAACCAGTTTGTTGTCTAGTATTTTTTAATAAAGTATGATATACTTACAATAAATCTGGACATTAAGTTGTTTTGTAAGTTGTTTATTTAATACAGTATGTTTAACTGTACAGTTATAAGAACCAGTTTGATCTCTAGTACTAAGTGATAAAGGGTTATTTAGAATTGTTGTTGAACCATCTTTAGACCAGGTGATGTTACAATCTGGATTACAATCAGCTAAACAGTTGACACTCTGACTCTTTCCTTCTATAACATCTATATTATCACTATTAGGATTAAATCTTGTATTCTCTGGACCATCTGTAAATATTATACTTTGATAATTCTGTATTTCTTTCCATCAGTTGACGTGAATGCTTCACAGAAATAATCAAGAACAATGCTTTATGAAAATAAAACCTTTGTTTGTTAACCAGAATATGGTGGCCGTGGGTCGTAAGAGTAATGTTCCTCAATATTCTTGTCGACCAGATACGGATACTCAAGGAAAATCCAATGCCAAGAAGTTTTACCATGGATCAGCTTGATAGGATCCTTGTGAATGTAAGTTGTTATCCATGTAAATAAAACTTGTTTGTTTGATTCTTTTTTTTCAGGTTTGTGCAGTTTTTGTTTAAAATTGAATCACAATCGAACTATTCGAGGTACCCTATATAAGGGAAGTAACCAATTTTAAAAGTTTTTATTGTTTTCTCATGTAGAGTAGCAATATAATGAGGCAATTACCTACAGTATAGCACCTATAGTTTATTATGACGTAAAAACCTGCACTAGCCGCTAGTTTATTTTACATGCAGGAAAAAAAAGTGATACTAGTATGAAATGTATGTCTATCAGAAGGTAAAGTAAAATACTATATTTTTACCTGTATATTGTACATAAGAATTGTGTAATTATTTGATAAAAAGTTGCAATTAAATCAAACTTACAATAAACCGATACAGTAGTTGACCCTTGTCCACCAGAATTACCTCTACAAGACCATGTTGTATCATCTTGTTTATTTATATTACTTATATTGAGATATAGTTGTTTGTTGTTATTATTTATACATCCACATTTATATCTATTATCTGATTGACTCCCACAGTTTATCATATTACATACAACAATATTGTTTCTACGGAAATCTACAACACTAAGTGAATCTGTAACATCACATTGTAATCTATAATTTTCACCTAACACTGCATAACTTTCAGGAACTCCTCTTAAAGTATATTGACCTGTAATATAAACAATATGATAATTAACCAACTTCTAGTTATTATTACTTTTCACTTTAATTTCAGCTCAGAAAATTATCTTTTAGTTAAATATATCATATCTTCGATTGTTTACATTCGTAAGATAAAAACATTTCATCAGTAAATTCTGAATTCAACCATTTTACTGTCAATTTAAGATTTGAACCCAACCTTTGAGGTATGAAATAATCTAAGCTATGCAACATTATATTCTTGTAAGTAGAAACGTGAAATTATGGCGAATATTTTGGTATAATAATAATAATAATAAATTTATTCAGTTTAAAGGCAAGTGCACAACTCATTCATGTTTATAGCAATACAAGTAAATAAAAAAAATAATAAACTAGAGCCACACATGGCACAGAGTGGGACTTTGCAAATGTTGAAAAAATCAACCTTCTACGATAATTACATCACGCGCAAGATCAGTCTAAAGTTGAGAAGAATTTTTTGGAAGATTGCTATAACGGAAGTAGACAGACCTCACAAATGAAAGTATCAGAAGATAGCCAAGGTCAATGACATTTGACATTGAAAGGGAGACGGTCAACAAAGGTCAAGATTACGAGATACAAGTCATCAAAATTTTTAAATATATAGGGCTATAAAACCGGAAGTTGAGATAGGACAGCAAATATAAAAGTATAAATAGATAGCCAATGTGAATGACCTTTGATCCTACAAAAATCAGGGTCAAAAAAGGTCAAGGTCAAATATTGAAAATTTAGAATTTTCAAAACCTGTTCCTTTTTTTGAACTATAAAGCTAAAA